AACAAAAATAATAGTTTGACACACTCAATTGGTTTGACAGTCATGTGAGATCCTTGTTTTAAAATATTGATAGGGGATAATATGGGAAAGAAAGAAGGTGACGTTTTTTGAAAAGTTTCTTTCGTTTATAATTTTGAAATCAAAGCACATTATCATCTCATCTATGTCTGATCTCTGATTTGTGTCCATTATCTAAAGTTGTGGTTGAAACAGAAAAGAGCAAAGATCTTCCGAAGCAGAGCACACATTGGTCACATCCTTTTTTGAAGAGAGAATCATCTTAAGGTGATGTAACCTAGCCATCCTACGACGTAGCAAGAAGCCCATTTGGAAGACGCTGGATTTGAGGGTGACCAAAGTAGAAACCTGCATGTTCATCATAAAAGGGTTAGGGTGTAGGTATTTTTTTTTTTCTTATATATGAACGATAGATGTATAGTACAAAAAGAAGTTTTTGTTTTTTTGCGTTGTTTTTTATCATCGTGTTGATATTTCTTTTCCTTTTCGGCTGCCTTCAATTGAACATTATGAGCATAAACAATTTTAGTCCTTGATAGTGCAAAAAACTTGAAAGGACGAAGGATGAAGTCTAATGTGGTAGATATGGTAGAGTTCTTTGAAGTCATAATGTAATGTTTTTTACACTCTTCCATTGAATTCAATGGACATTTTATTTTTCTTTTATAATTGTAGTTTTAGTTTTGGCAGAGTTCTTTTACTAATTAGCATTTGAATATGGTGCTTTGTTTTATTGGTAGTGCAACACTTACATTTTGTGCACATTGAATAATTGTGTTCTTTTAAATCTTGTAGTACCCTTAATTTTTGAGCACCGTGTACCTTAAATGTTTGATTTGTGCGTGTACGTCTGTCTCAACTTGATTGTGAAGAAATTGTGTAGTACGGTTAGGGTTTTGATGTTTGGAAGACTTGGAATGTGGTGGAATTGAGTTACTATGAGTTATTGTATGATGGAGGGTAATTATTGAGAATATACTATTGGTTTGTTATGGATGTATGAATATTAAAACCAGAACTAGACTAATGTGAGGTCCCAAAATATTTACGATAAAATATATTTTATTTCTCTCCAGTGATGTATAACTCAGTTATTAAGTATTCTTTGTTGTATGAATTTAAAATATGAATTTCAGCCACCATCTTTGTTTTTACTGTTGCTCGTTTGTTACTGGCTCTCCTTGATGTGATCAAAAAGCAAAGGATGTAATAGATAATGAGAATACCTCACATGGAATAGATAAACACTTCAAAAAATTCCTTTAAAGATTGAATCATTGAAATGTTTTTCTTTAGGAAAATATTCTTTTAACAATATTTTTTTTGAGAACTTTTTTATAATCGTAAAAGTGATAGCTTGTGATTGATCCGTTTAAAATGTACGGATCAATAAAACAGTGACACATAATCCATTCTTAAAAAGTTATTAACATAAAATTATTAACATATCGGGATCGAAACCAAGCTTTGCTCATATAACACCATGAGCTTATGTTCATGTTCATATGTTGGAATTAGTTTGACACCAAAGACAACTTTGCTCACTAATTTCTACTCTCATTTGATGTGTGTTGGAGAGTTGCTCAAGCCAAAAATAGAATCATGAAATCTCAGTCATAAATCTACAAATTCTTGATAGCTAGAGTGACTTTGCTCTCTTGAATGCTTCCCTTCTTAGTGCAAAATTTTATTATGTTTTCTTTCCTTGTAAAACAAAGTCCTATATATATAAATTCAATGTTATGTAGTTCCAAAACAAAAGTCTCATTTTCAGTAGATCCGACAATATGACAAGTAAATTGATGGCATCATAAATTGTGTCATAATTAATGCGACCCTAGTCATTCATTTTTGCAAAATTCTGAAACAAAACACCCATCACTATTAAAATTAAGTTCCAATACTTCATAAAATCTACACTGGTTTATCATTTTTTTCTCATGCAATTTCAGTTTCTTAATTTTTTATTATTTTGTAATTTTAGATTGTGAATTTATTTATGCAATATTGATTCTTTAAGGTTTGATTGTTGGTAACTTTACTCAATTTTTTTTTTGTTGAATTATCTTAACGGAGAAATTAAAATCATATGAAAATAATTTAGGAAACAAAATTGTGAATTTTACAGAATATAAGGATTAAGGTTGTAACTAAGCATAAATTTTAAAATCATTTTTCAATCATTATAGGGCATAGCTTATGAAGTGATTATATTAACATTTTCAAGTTTTAAAATTGTGTACATTTTATAATATTATATAGAACTAACACGCTCTAAAAAACTATTTTAATAATAAGGTTAATAAAATTAATGTTTAACTTGATTTTTCGAATTTTATCATTAATATATGTTGTTATTTAAAATATAATCCCTATTAATTTCATTCAACAAAAGTCGATAACAAATATCAAATTGTTTCCCGAAAAACATCAACTTATAAATTTATTTATTTATTTAAATATATTTTTTGTTTTTCAAATTGAAGGCAATAGCTATTTTGAGTACTATTTTTTTTAAGTTTTTTAGTTTTGTGAAACGGTTTTTATTATTTTTGCAATTAGATGATGTTTAGATTTGCCAAATTAGTCCATCTAATATGAATTAGTCTAACTCAAAAAAAAACTCACAGGACAAAAAAAATTCTTTATTAAAAAAACGGACTAAATATCCATAAAATCCTTAGTTTAGAACTAGTTCATGGAATTCCTTTTAACATGTTAACTATTTTATTTCTAATAATATTTAAAAGTTTTCTAATTAAGTTAATACATTGATTTAATTAATATTGTAACTTAATTATATCTACTAATCTTGAGAATCAAATTATAAAATTGTATTAATATCTAATTTCTTATTTTTCTAATTTTATAAGATTGTGTATATTTTTATTCAATTTTCATATATGAAAATGTTTATGTTATATTAGCATTGTTCTATAAAAACAATAACTTATTTGATTTTTTGATGGATGATTCTTTTGAGAAAAAAATCATTTCTTTAAAGATTAAATATGTTTTTGGTTCCTTAACTTTCACTGAAAAATAGAATTGGTTATTCTTCAAATTCTGATCCAATTTAGTCTTCCAAATTGTGGAATGCATTGATTTAGTCTTTTTAACCAAATTATATTCAGTTCATTTCAGATTTCAAACATGTTTCTCAACTAATATTGAAGCGAAAATGTGTCAAAGACATAAACAACTCAAATATTATTATGAAACACGTTTAAAACATCAAATAAACTTAACCAAATTTGATTAAAAAGACTAAATTCAGACATTCTTAAAACTTGGAGGATTAAATGGGTTAAAGTTTTGAAGAGTCACTAATTTCAATTTTGACTAAAAGTTAAAAGACCAAAAACATATTTAATTTTTAAAAAAAATATGAAACACGCTTATTATATTTTAGATGTTAAAAATAAAATTAAGTTAAAAGATTATTTATATATAATCTTTTTTAAATATTTTATTAAAATACATTCACAAAAACTTTCATAACACGAAAAAATTAAAAGAAAATGTGCTTTTAGAATTATATTTAAATATAAGTAATTTTTAGACTTACAAAAAAAAATTAAACAATTTTTTTTCAAAATTATCATATTCTAAACTTAAACAAATCCAACATATATTATATTTTCAACCTTTCAAAATAATAAAATTACGTATCTAAAATTTGATTATAATTAAAAAAAATATTTTGAATAACTTTTTATATATAATCAATATTTATGTATTTATATTTAAAAAAATAATAATATAAATAAAATATCAAAACTTAAAAATTTTTAAAAAGAGAATGCAAAGCAAATGAAAATAATAATTGAAAATACATTAAAAATAAACTAATTTAGTTTTTTTTTGGAGAACCTCATTCTAATACTGTCATAGAGACTCAAATGACAGTAACATGGATAGTCTATTCAATATTTATCACGTGATTTAATTTATTAATAAGTCTTGTTAAAGTTTATTAAGATTTAAATATCTTTTAGTCTCCAAACTAGGGATCCAATTTATTTTTATTCTCCAATTAAAATTCCTCAACTCTTTTATTTTTATTCTTGGATGTCATTATCAATTGAATTTTCAATTAGCCTATACAAACACATGAAAATCAAACTTTTCTCACTTCATTCCCACATTTCAAAATTCCAATCAAAAGTCCAATAACTCTAACCCTAAGCAAAATGCCACTTTGCTAATCAAAATATTCTTACACCAACCCTTTTTACTCATTAAGAAAGTGATGTGATGTCATTATCAACAAGTGTGAAGTGGAGTTATTTTAGTATATATCAAATATGTTACCACTTTTCAACAAAAAAAACTAATGAAAAAGGAAGTCAAATATGAAATGAACACTACAATTTTTTCAAAGATTAAAGTCAACTATAGTAAAAGATTGTTGGTCACATTTTTGTAAAGGTGGCCAAAATAATGTTCCACTAAAATAACATTATACCCACAAATTGAAAAACTCAAAACATGTTTAAGTCGTTTTTTTTTAATTCTCTCATGGTCTTTTCATTATATTTTACTTTTTATACTTTATTAATTGTGATAGCGTTATAATGTTAGAGTACCTGAAGTGTTTTACATGGAGGGACCATATATTGGAGAACTTTTCATGTAGAAATCAAAATGAAAAAACAATGTTAAAGTACCTAAAGTGTTTTACATGGAGGGACCCAAATGAAATGCAAATGTTTTAGTATAAGATTAAACCAGAAAACAATGCACCAAAAACCCGACATTAGCATGACATTGATAAATGAAAAGTATTATTCATGAATAGGTTTATAATATAAAAGATCTTTAGGTAGCCTCTGAACTGCAACACACACATGTGATAGTTTTTTATGTAGGGACTGAAATCAAAAATAGTGTCTGAAGTATAAACCAAGTTTAAATTAAATCTTTCATACTATCTTAAAAAATCAAATAAAGAGAAAGTGAGAGAGCAAAACACAAAATCATAGTCCCAAGTAAATCTCTATTGAGTTCATTTGCATGTCAAATATTCTGTCTTGTGCTTATATGAATACATGATAAACTTCCTTTATTGTTGAAAACAACAAATAGAACAATAGTCAGCACATCATCAAAAGACTGATTGCTGCTTACTCAGTGGAAGATGCATCCTCGGCTGGAACACTTCCCCCTTCTTTGAAAAGGACAAAACATCACAATTTAGTTAGTTCATTTTTGTTAGATATATTAGATTATTAAATATCTTAAATAGATATCTTATCTTTATCTTTTATCTTCGGTTACTTTGTTATTATTTTTTATTTGTATTTTGGACTTAACTCATATTTACTTTATTATAAATGCAATAGCCTAGATGTATTTTTTACACAAGAAAGATTAATCTCATACAGTTTTTCACTTTATTAAATAATTTTCATGATGCTGAGTGACATAAGGGAGAAGGGAATGTAAGTTTAGCCATCTTAACTCAACAAACGAAGCTATCAAAGTGCAACATACCTTCTCCTGAAGGAGCATAAGGAGATTTCCGGTAACGTGTTTGCTGCTGTGTCGGCTGAAAAGCATAAGCACCGAGTAGAAATTTGTCATGAACATTACATGAAATTGGTTCTTTTAACCTTTCAACCATTGGTAGAGAAATGGAGTGTTAAAGGACAAGGGAAGCTATGGAGCAGCACCCTTTATGCTACTATTGTTAAAAACCAGTCACTAAGGTCTTGTTTGAATAAACTTGTCTATAAGAACTTATGTGAAAAGAAAGCACAAAGCTAAAATATATTGAGCATTCAATAAGCTATGATCAACTTAAACTTTTTGAAGAAACTAAACAAAAAGGGTTTCAAATTGATTTTAACTTATATTAGAAGTTCAATTCATTTTACCTTCATATTTTCTCCTATACATTAAAGTTTTTTTTAACAACACCTAAGAATATTATCCACTTGATTTTTTGATTTTAAACTTGTAATGCATTTATTTTAACAGTAATGCGAAACAGATAACGTTATCAAAGCTTTTATTATATAGCAAGTGCAAGTCCAAATTTCAGAGTCATAACTAAGAGAAAGAGTCAAAATTTAATCGTCTAAATACATTTCTGTATTATTCTGCATCAATTTATACTAAATCTACCATCATTCTTACCAACCAATTTGCTAACAGGTATTTGAATAATTTTGCTGCACAATCATATCACCGCAAATCACAAGTTATAAATAAGTTTGTTCCATCGCTAATATAACATTATCTGTGATTTGAACTTCTTTGGAGACAATTGATTATTTTCTCTCTCTGTACAGTCTAAATGATATAGAACAATTTCATGAAACAGAATAAGAACATCAAGCAGCAAGCATTCACACATCAGAAGAACAACTACTATCAAGCCATAGAAAGCAGTATCACTATATCCAAATCAGGCATCGGAAAATTGATTAAGTACCTGTAACTTAGGCCGAAGAGCCTCAAGTGGTCCCTTAGGCTTCTCACCGCCTTGCTGTTTCACTCAAAGGCACAGAAGAGCATCAGCAAAGTGAACAAGAATAAAATCCAATATATGCAATTACTATATAGCTGTATTTTCCAGAAATACCTTTCCAAGTGCCCAGTCTGCAGAATCAAAGTAAGCACGCTCATGGTCCTAGCATAAAATTGAGTTTAGATGAACAATCAAATGAGCATTGATCAGTGGATACTCATGGGCATGAGCATCTTGATTTCAGAATGTAAGTGACAAACAAAGTTTACATAAAGAAACATCCACATGCACACACCTTAGATATGAGTGGTGGCTTTTTGGGTAGCATTCCTCCATATTTTTTCTTTACAGCTTCTTCCTACAAGGTTCATAAATTGTAAGTCACAATAATAAATCCTTACAAACTTACCATTGTGTCACAAGCTTCATCCTCTCAGTAAAGAGATTACTAATCTGAAGTCAAAATTTTAATTTAAGAATACTAAAACGCAAAATCTGAATACTACCTGCTTCTGAGATGATGGCATGGTGTTAGCTGACTCATTAGATGCATCCACGTCCATCTGTCCGAGATCTTTGTTATCCTCTATGTTAGACATGAGGTCCTTTTGAGTGTAAAACTGCAATTACAACACAGGCCATGTTAACAGAAAAGCTGTCTACTGCAACCACTTTACAATTAAGCACCGCTTAAAAGGAACATTATCTGGTCTTCCGACATGTCAAACTATTATAGGCACAGAAGCCGCAGATCATTATCTCGGTACAAGGTAGCAAAATCCATTTGCAAGCTTGCTATCAAACATCACCCAACCCATCAAAATGAAGCAGGTCACAAGCTTTTTGAGCAAAGGAACACATATCTGAGCATTAAATAAACTGCTAGAAAAAGCTTTTTCTGATACTTTTATCAGAAGACCAATAGCTCTTAAATAGAATACATTTTGGGATGCAAACCCACATACTAAGAATACATAAGGTCTAATAAATGAAATTCATAAAATACTACATGCACACTTAATTCCTAAGGGTCAATGATTCTCACACAGGAAATACAAAATCAGACAACTATCCCTAACATAATAACTACCCTATTTACAACTTTTTACTCTCTATTCAGGTCTAGTCTCAGAGATTCCAGCATAAACATTGGTTTTAGAAGTTCTGCAACTCTTCAACCCACCATAAATTCTAAAGTCTGCATCTCCCCTAAACAGTATCAGAGTCTAAATCATTGATGGGTATTCAGCAAAAGTGAAAAAGATTAAATATTTAAAAAGAAAACACAAAAATTGATAATGGGCTGGAACAAACAAATGGAGCAGCTATGAAGTGCAAAAGGGGCAGAATATCAGTATTATTTTGAAGATCAAGTTGCAGGAAATGGAAAGAACAAGATCGAAGAAGTCGCTCACCAGAGCGCAGGGGCCACAACAACCGTATTCAGCGGAGCACCGAACGGTGTCTCTCTAACTCTCTCTCTGTCTCTCTCTGTCTCTCTCTCTAACTCTCTCTCTCTTCCCTCTCTATGTCTGTTGTCTCAGTCTGAGATTCAATGCTCTCTTTTACATTCAATTATTTTTTGTCTTCTTTTATTTGCTTCATTTCATCTTATATTTTTGTAGTGTTGTTCTTATTGTTATTTAGTTACGCATACAATTTTGTCAAATCAGTGATCGTGTTCTGTGTTTTGAGATTAAAGAATAATTTTAATTAAGTTGATTACGCAACATGCACTGCACGCAGTTTGGTTTATACGCTCCATTAGAAGAAAAATAAAGAAAAGAGAGATAAATAAAGAACGGTGAAACAGAATGAAATATGCGTTTGATGATTTGAGAAAGTCACAACAACAAAAAGAAGTCATTTTCAGTAACAAATAAATAAAACTAAATAATGTATAATCATAAAATTATCCATATTTATAATACAAAGAGATATGAGTAATGAATATTTTTTAAAGGAAAAAAATCTCGAACTCTTAAACTAACTATCTCTCTAGAAGGAAAAAAGAAAAATACTTTCAAGTTTCATTCACATATAAACTTACTATTGTAAGAGGAGATACGAGAGAAAAAATATGTGATTCTATTAGATTGAATTATATTGCATACATATTCTCTTTGCAAGAATTATCGTCTAAGAACTTGTAATCAATCTTTTTATTGTAAATTCTGAAGAGAATTCAAACACTTAACATTTAACTTGGTAGAGTTAAATGGTAGCTAGACGATTTTGTCTGGTGGAAACCAAGAATGGGTAAAACTAAGTGACGTTTAACTTGGTGGAGTTAAACGATAGCTAGACGGGTTTGTCTGGTGAAACTAGGAGTAAGTTAAACTCAACTAGACAGTGCATCAGGAAGATATCGAGAGTGTCTAGGGATATCATGAATGGTGAATAATACTCTACAACTAGAAGTGGGTGAAACTCAGTCAATTCAGAGTAATGAGGGTTACTGAGTTGACTACGACAATTAGGAGAGGGTTAAACTCAACTAGACAATGTATAAGAAAGATACCGGAAGTGTCTAGGGATACTAGGAGCGATGAAAAATATTGCACAACAACCAAGAGTGCGTGAAACTCAGTCAGAATCATAGTAACAAGGGTTATTGAGTTGAGTGGGTTAAACTCAACTAGGCAATGTATCAGGAAGATACCAAAAGTGTCTAGGGATACTAGGAGTGGTGAAGAATACTACACAACCAAGAGTGGGTGAAACTCAGTTAGAGTCACACTAGAGGGGGTTACTGAGTTGACTAAGAGAACCAGAAGTGGGACGAACTCAACTAGATAGTGTAGTTGGAAGATATCTGGAGTGTCTACAAATACTAGGAGTGATGAATAATACTACAAAGTCAGGAGTGGGTGATACTCGACACTAGTTACAGTAACAGGGATACTAGGTTTGACTAGCATAAACAAGAGTGGTAAAAATACTCACATGTACCTCGTTGAAAATCTAATGGAACCCTATAAGAGGAGAATTGGATGTAACTCAATTGAGTGAACCACTATAAAATATTTATGTGTCATATCTTAACTTTACAAACATTCTATTTTCAAGGCAAAACAAATAATTAACATGCATGCTTAACAACAAAACTTCTTCCTCTAAGAGTTACTTCTCCATAACGCTATGGAGATTAGCTAAACACTATGTATAATGTTTATGGTTAAAAATTCAGACACTAATCGTTTTCCAAAAAGATAATATGTTTTAGTCTTCATTTATAAAATTCAAGATCCTATTGATAATTCATTATCAATTATATCTTTTTAAATCTTTTAATTTTTTTACTTGTGTATATTTTTTTATTGCTTGCCATTATCAATTATATCTTTATAAATCTTTTAATCTTTTTACTTCTTTATATTTTTTTATTGCTTGTGGTTGGAAAAGAAAGATACAAAGTGTAAAACTATACCACTACTTTATTATATTTAAAAAGAAGTAATGTATTTTTTAATTTATAGAAAACAAATCTACATAGGAAATAAGATTCTATGAAGCGTTTTTTTTTATTGTTTTTTAGTAAGAAGTGTTATATTTAATGTTTTTACATTAGAAACAAATAAATTTACCGTAACGAAAACTTAAGGGAGAAAGTAGGTAAATATTCTTGTAAAATGTGATAATTAAGATACCAAAAAAAATGGTTTGGAGATAATATGGTAATGGAATATTGTATAATATGTTTGTTTAGACGAGTTTCTCTAGTTGAAATTCTCTTGGTCGATTTTCTTCGGTCAACCTCCTCAGGTCGATATCTTAACCAACTTGTTCCAATTGAGCTTTTAGACTGACCTGTTTTAGATAAGTTTCAAGACCAACCTCTTCAACACTAAGTTTCCCAAGGTCAAACCCCTTCAGGTGAGTTCCAAGGTCGATCTCCTCCATGCTGAACTTTTCAACACTAACTCTACCAAGACCAAGCTCCTTTAGACTGAACTCTTCAACACTTGTTGTCCAATGCCAAGTCCCTCCCAGACAGAGCTCCTTTGGCCGCCACTATGGATTGATAGTTACTGAACAATCAACTAATCACAACATTTTTAGACTGAACAACATGACCAACTGATTACAGCATGATCAGATTAACAATGATAATAACGAATTAACCTGTTAATGCAAATTAAAATATGATTGAGTTTAGGTCGAAAAGAGGTAAAGATTCATCAAAACTCATTCATGTAAAGATCTCAAATATAACTTTAATATAACATGATTGCTAATCAAATAAACATATAATGGCTTTAATACTGAGTACCTTCTATTGGATGACGCTGAAAAGACATTAAAAGTCAAGCAATTAACTATCCTGAATCAACCCAGTTTACTATACAAACGACCTAGAATCTGTCCAGTTTACTACATAGTCTATCTACTATGTGACAATCACAAGATCGACTAAGTATCCCAACATATTTTTTAATAATTAACGTGATTTCATAGTTAACATTTAAATATGAAGCTATTTCAGAATACTGAACTAATTGTTTCATAAGTCAGACTCAAAAATTTTCATTTATGTATTTGGCGTTAATTTAAAATACCTCTTGTATTTTCTAATTTTGAAATAAATATTCATTCTTCTCTGTTCTATTTATTAAATGATACTCTTTTCTTCATTTGTCTTTAGGTAATCTTCTTTATNATCCTGAATCAACCCAGTTTACTATACAAACGACCTAGAATCTGTCCAGTTTACTACATAGTCTATCTACTATGTGACAATCACAAGATCGACTAAGTATCCCAACATATTTTTTAATAATTAACGTGATTTCATAGTTAACATTTAAATATGAAGCTATTTCAGAATACTGAACTAATTGTTTCATAAGTCAGACTCAAAAATTTTCATTTATGTATTTGGCGTTAATTTAAAATACCTCTTGTATTTTCTAATTTTGAAATAAATATTCATTCTTCTCTGTTCTATTTATTAAATGATACTCTTTTCTTCATTTGTCTTTAGGTAATCTTCTTTATATTTTTCTAATAAAATTATTCTCACTTTTCTTATATATTTAAAAATATTATATTAACTAAAATTTAAATGAAAATTTCAAATTTTAAAATAAAAGTAAAGAAAGTTATATAAAAAAAGTTTTAAAATAAAGTAAGAAAATTGAATATCATTTATTAAAAATGTGCGATGAACGAATGTTTATTTAAAAATATAAAAACTGAATACTAATTCATTAAATATATAAGAAAAGTGCATATTATTTAGGCTTAATACAATTGTTGGTCTCAATATTTGTTAACTTTATTTTAAATGGTCTTCGTTTTTTTAGAATGTTCAATATATTCACTTATATCCTAATTTATGTTCAATTTAGTCATTTTTGTAAACGACGTTTAAATCGTTAACGACACAGTGTCAAAGTCAGCAATCTGACGTGCTGCCTCTGACGTGCTGCCTCTCATCATCTTTATCGTGACCACTTCATCATCTTTCATCTTCAACCTCAGGCATAACACTTGCATTTATGATTTTAATTTTTCAATGGGGGACATTTTATCAGAGAACAAGGGTTAAGACTTTGTTCTTTTAGAATCTAGGAACCCGTCCTCAGGGTCACTTAAGAGAGATTATTCCCCAATCTCTTCTTTTATCCATTTGCCATAAGCAAAACCCATAAGCTTCAAGCTTCTTTCCCTTCCTTTCTTGCGGATGAACTGGTATTGGGCGTCTTTTTTCTCTCGTGCAAAGTTCTCGCCTAGGGAGAGTTTTCTTCTGCTTTTCTTTCTTCTTATTCAAGTTCGCGTGGAGGCAAGGGAACCATTCTTCTCTTCTATGCTTCAGGCTCGCGCATCAACCCTATTTGTAGAGGGTTCTCCTTCGCATAGAGGAATTTTGGTTTTTTGTTGGGGTTTTACTGATCTTGTTTGCAAAATTGGAAATGGGGATTTAGGGTTTTTCGGTTGGGAGAGTTTATGTTTTTAATCATTCAGTGTTTGCGATTGAGGTTGATGACTACGTTTTGGGTTGTCTTTAGGATTGAGAGTTATGTTCTTTATATGTGAATTGGTTTTTCTTTTGTTGCGCGAGTGGTGGCAAGGGAGGCGTAGATGGAGGTGGCTATGGATATCACGGTGGCCGTCAATTCGATGAAAACCCTAATATTAAGAGGGAGTCATTAAATATCATAAAATAAGTTTCAAAAAACATAAATTCACCTCATTATGCCTTATAGTGTTCACATCAGCCAATAAATGGCATGTCAATGACTGATTGTTCAGCTAGACATTTAGTCGTTAGACATTTAGCAGTTAAGAATTAAACGTCCTTTGTTAAAAGTACTAAATTGAACATAAATTACGATACAAAGGACTATATTGAACATCTAACAAAATAAGGACCATTTCGTATTAAGCCTATCATTTATTAAAATAATGAAAGTGTAAATGTTTATTTAAAAATATAAGAGATGTAAACGTTGGTTCATTAAAAATTGAAGTGAAATAGTCGTCTATTTTAAAAGTAAAAGAACAAGGCTTTTAACTAATTCTTGTAATTAATTTAGTTTAATAATAACTATATAAAATAATTAAAAGCTAAGTGAAAAAA